CTTCCTCACTAATTTCAGGAACATTGGCATTTTCCAAACCTACAGCAGTTTCTTCCTCGCTAATTTCAGGAGCATTGGCATCAAAAGGTACATTTCCACTAGCATCAGTAAATATACTTTCATTAGCATCAGGAGGAACAAACAGAGAATCAGGTTCAAGTTCAAACTCAGGCTGAACCCCAACACAATGGCCCATGTGAATGTTTCAAAGAGTCCTTTGTCCCACCCTGGTCATTCCACAGATATATAAACCCTTTTTCCTAGTTCCAACAGACCTCACTACCTCTGAGGATGCTTGCCATAGATGCAGGCGAAACGTCAGGAGAGAATGCCTCTAGACCATGGCCATATAGCCCAAAAAAACCTACAAAAACCCAGTGATTCCGGCCATGAAAGCCTTCGACAATACATTTCTTGTGATCTTCCTAAACTATGGTTGGAAGCGGGAATGGGCAAATGTGATATGTTTGGACGAAATTACTAACAAATCAATTTTGGATCCATCATAGTTTTTCTGAATTTCCATTTGTTGGTATTTTGGAGCTTATCTTATAACTAGCATATATAGCCTGCATTGCCCTTGTGTTGGAGAGGCTGCTATCCCACCATATCTTTCCCCCTTTACTTTCTATTCCTTCCATCATTTTTTCTTCCCCTTCTTTCCTTTCCCTCCCTCTCTTTCTTCCTCTTCCCTTTCTCCTTTTTTCAGCTCTGAGAGGGCCTACATCACAATGTCTCTCTTTGTGGTTCTTCTCTTCCTCCCTTCCCCTCATATACATGTCACCTTTCTTTCCCAATGACATCACAGTGGGCCATTTCACCTAGCAATAGCCAATCCTTTCCCTAGCAATAGCCAATGAAGTGATGCCACAGAAGGACACATAATCTAATAATAGCCTTTACGGTACAGATAGACTGGCAGACATGCTTTGATGTTGATATCTTCTAATTGTGAGGTAACTGGAAAAACCTACTATAACTGTATTTTGTGCCTCTCTTTCCATATAGTTAACACTCGAGTCCCTTCAACCTCCCTTACAGACCCCATTTACAAACATTTGTGTGCACTTGCGCGCATTGAATAATAAATGCCAGTCATCCTGTTGATCAATTACAATGCCATACAATAAATGTAAGACCTTGAAACTGTTTCTATTCACATTTAACAAACATTGCCTTAACAATAAATGCCTCCAAAGCATCTTGAAATCAAGTCAGCTGTATTGAAGAATGAATGTGGGGGAAAAGTTGTTTGCTGCAAGAAAATGTAGTAGCTAGTGACTGAAAATTCCTAACTTTTTTGCACAGAAAATATGTTTATTGCACACAAATAATCTTTCTGCATGAAAATTGTACTTTGTGCACAGAAAATGTTTTGTGAGTGAAATATATGTGAAAAATTGTTTGCAGAAGAAATTTCAAAACTCAGACTCTTGCTGGCTTGGCATTCTGCTTATCTTGTACTTGAAAAACACATTTTCATAGTTTTCTGAATGTTGTGTAGTTTCTGGGATGTATGGCCATGTTCTAGCAGCATTTTCTCCTGATGTTTCACCTGCATCTCTACAGATCATAGAATCATAGAATTGGAAGACACCACATGGGCCATCTAGTCCAACCGCCTGCCATGCAGGAAAACACAATCAAAGTATCCCTGACAGATGGTCATCCAGCCCCTGTTTAAAGTTTCCAAGGAAGGAGCTTCCACCGCACTCTGAAGCAGAAGGTTCCACTATTGAACAGCTCAAATGGTCAGGAAGGTCTTCCTAATGTTCAAATGGAATGTCTTTTCCTGAAATTTAAACTCATTGCTCTAAAACCTAGTTTCAAGAGCAGCAGAAAATAAGCCTGCTCCCTCTTCCTTTATGACATACATTCACATATCTATGCATAGCAATCATGTCTCCTTTCAACCTTCTCTTCTGCAGGCTAAACATGACCAGTTCTTTAAGATGCTCATCATAGGGATTATGCATGGTTTCAAGGCCATTGATAATTTTTGATGCCCTCTTCTGAACACCTTTCAGCTTGTCATATCAATTTTAAACTATGGTGCCCAGAAATGGACACAGTATTTCAGAAAGGTCTAACCAAATCAGAATACAAAGGCACCATGACCTACCTTGATCTAGACAATATACTTTTGATGCAGCCCAAAATCTCATTAATTTGTTTGCTGCTGCATCACAATGTTGACTCATGTTCAACTTCTGACATAAGTTAAAAAAAGATTTTATTTCAGCAGAGAGAGATATGAGACAAGGACAATTCTACTCCCTGACATCATCAGTATGCCACCACAAAAGGACCCTGGATCATCATATGAGGCAGGTTGTAGTATTGTGACAAGATCCAGGCTATTGATGGGGCTTGCCTATCAATAGCTGGGAACAGCTTCATTGTGGGAATTGGTAGGAAGAATATTGAAACTGGTACTAGTTATGAATATATTTATTTGCTAAGGATGCATCTACAATGTAGAATTAATCCATGTTGACTTTTAGTAACCACAGCATTCTTTTCTAAGTGATTGCAGACTGCCTCCTTAATGATCTGCCCCAGAATCTTTCCAGATATTGATGTCAGGCTTACTGGATGGTAATTGTTTGGGTCCTCTTTTTTCCCCTTTTTGAACATTTGCTCTCCTCCAGTCTGCTGGGACTTCTGTTCTCCAAAGATTCTCAAAGATTATTGCCAGCGGTTCTGAAATGTCATCTGCTAGTTCTTTCAATACTCTTGTATGTAGTTTGTCTGGCTCCAGAGACTTGAATTTATTTAGAGTAGCCAGGTATTCCTGGACTACTTCTTTACGTATTTTGGGTAGCATTTTCCGTATTGCTCAAGTTGAACACCAGTCTCCTTTTGGGAGAAGACTGAGGCAAAGAATGTGTTGAACACCTCTGCCTTTTCCCTGTAAGCATTTCACCATGGTCTCCATGCAGAGGCCCTACCATTCCTTTCTCTTCCTTTTTCTACTGACATAACCAAATAACCCCTTTTTATTGGTTTTATTCTCTCTGCCAAGCCTGAGCTCATTTTGTGCCTTAGCTTTATGAACTCTTTTCCTACATATGTTGGTTATTTGTTTGAATTCCACTTTGGTGATTTCACCTCTTTTCCATTTCTTGTGCATGTCTCTTTTAAATCTTAGCTCAGCTAAAAGTTCTTTGGGCATCCATTCTAGTTGTTTTATAGTTCTCCTATTTATTCTCCTTTCTGGCACTGTTTGCAATTGAGCCTGCAGTATCTCAGTTCTAAGAAACTCCCATCCATCATTAACTCCCTTCTCTTTTAGTATTCCTGTCTATAGAATTACACTCAGTATTTCCTTAAATACACACATTTCCTAAAGTCTAGAATGCATGTTGGACTTCTCTCAGTTTCACCCTTCCTTGTATCACAAACTCTAGGAAAACATGGTCACTCCTGCCTAAGGATCCCACCACTTCCACTCCATTGACCAGATTCTCAGTGCTGGTTAGGATCAGATCCAGAATAGCTGATCCTCTTGCTCTGAGGAGGCTAGAAAATAAACCAGGGACTTCACATTACACACAAAGAGAATCCAACTAAACATTAAGAAGACCTTTTTGTTGGCTGTTAATGAAACAGACTGCTTCAAGTAGAGTGTCCTTCTTTGATGGTCTTTAAACAGAGATTGAGTGGTCATCTCTTAGGGTTGCCATCCTTGTACATTTTGGCATGTTAGGGGGTTCAAATAGATAGTCCTGGTTGTATCTCCCCTATCTAAGAGTGTAAATGTTGAAATTTGATTTCTTCCAAATTTGATAAGGATTGACTCATTCAAATTGTGGTGGATCTTTTTTTTCTAAAACTATTTCAGAGTTTGGATGGCTACCTTCCAGTGTTGCTGCACGTGTGGATTGCAGCAAAAAGAAGGGGTCTGGATGACATAGCCCAGGAATCTATTCCATTGTCAGAGAATGGTCACGTAATTGCAGAAGAGTTTTTCTTGACAACACTAAATTGAATGTTTATTGACTGGGAGAAAAAGGAAAGTTTGAAGAATATTGTCTTTCTAAAATGTCATTCAGTTAACACTGTGATTCATGCAGTACATACAAAGGTCTGCTGCACACGACAGCAAAACAGGAAATTCTGAAATCATTTAAGTACAATTACTGTTGTTGTGCCTGTGTCATTTTCTCTAATTCAATAAGAAACCCATTTGAAAAAACTATTCTAGCTGCCACTCTGAAATTATTTCTTCCAAGCATAAGTGCCTTCTTTGACCCTTTATTGAAGATTTACATTAACCAGGATATGAAAGATTGTGTTTCTTCACCTCCCCAGGCTAATTCCCAACTCTTTTACATATTACCTTATTCTTACTCCTTTTCTTTGATTTCAATTGTGTATAAATGGCATAGGCAAGCAACAACTTTTGCATATGTGACACATCCTCCAACTAGGCTTGTGCACGGATTTGGTTTGGTTAGTTCCCTTCAGCCAATCTGGCTTGTTTGGCTTGGTCAGATGGCCATAATGGTAAGGGCTCAGCTGTCATTGTTTTTGTCTGTAGCTGAGCCACGTGGCAGTCAAACATTGCATCTCCTCCCCTATTTGGCATCACGTGGCATGGGGAGAGGCTACCGCATGCTGCTTGCACAGGGTTTTCCTGTATGCCCTGCCTATTGGGCCAGTCAGAATAGAAGAATGCTGTGACGTGTTTTGCGCAAACTGTGAGTTTCATCCTGGCTTTAGAGAGGTGCTTCAGTCTGATTGCCTTGATGCTCGCTCTCAGCTTAATTTTTTTGGCTTGGCTTGGTCTCTCTAGTGTGGAATCTTTTTACTTTTCATTTATTTTCCTTTATTTTCTCCATTCTTCTTATTTAGTGGGGCTGGGAGTTGGGAAAGTGTGGGACGGATGGGGGAGGTGTGTGGAGGCATTTGGGGACCTGCTCTGAACCACTAAGACTTAAAATAATATGCTTCAAAACCATGTTTTTCTCCCCTAATCATGGTGTAATGATTCTTACCCCGTAGGCCGAAGAAGAAGCCTGGAATGTCAGTAGGCAGGACTCCATTTTGGGAGTGTCAGCAAAGGAAGCCGACATCTTGGGAGTGCAAAAGGAGAAGAGGGGAGGAGCTGAAGCTCGCTTTTGATTGGTTAGGACAGATGGGAGGAGTTTAGCCCTGAGAGGGAAAAGTGTGAGCTTGACAGAGATCAGGGAGATTGATTTTGGGAACGGAAGAGGAGAGAGGTAGATTTTTGGTGTGCTTAGATTTTTCTGTCAGAGAGCATTTGTGACAGGCGATTCTGCATTATTGGCCAGGAGGGTCAAAGTAGACGCCTGGGTGCTTGTGTAGGTTTTTACACAAGTGGTTTGCTCTCTGGGGTTAGAGTAGATTAGCTTTTAGAGGACTCTGCTCAGAGTGTAGCTAATTGCTCTGGGGACAACCTGGTTAGGTTTGTCTGGGGAACTCACTGCTACTGTGTTAGTGTAGAGTGAGGAGTTTTACCCATATCTAAGTCAAGTAACCTGTTTTAAGTAACCATCAAGATTATTGTACCTCAGCAACCATTCAAGCTTGTGTGCCTCATTAAAGAAGATAGTTGTTTGTTCAATATTATCAATAAACATTTTCTCTAGTTCAACTTTAAAGAAGCCTCAGTAGTGATTCATTCCTGTGGGAATAATACTATCTGTTTTTAACATCTTTACATCACAATCACCTCAGGGATCCAAGGGAGACCTGGTGGGCAGGGAAGAAGATTACCTCAGGAAAACATCTGTAAAATCATAAAGTTAATTTAGGTGGTGGCAGCGAATCTACCAAAGTACATACACGTTACCTCAATTACATATAAACACTCCGTGTCAGAATCATATTCCATCATATTGGTGTCCAGTTGTGGGATTAGTAACTAAGATCTTTTAAACGGATGACCAGCGGTGTGATATATCCTGAGTTATAATAATACCTAAGATCCTTTATAGTGGTGTCGAGATATAACCCTGATTCCTTTAAACTGGTGGCAGCGGCGTGATTGATTTATTAGGAGTTATAATACCCTGATTCTGTTAAACATGGCTAGGTTTCCTACAACACATTTTGATTTTTTTCCCCCAGTGGATCATACAGGAGTGGTTTTTTTTTCTTCTAATAAGGGGGCAATGCTTGCTTGCTTGCTTGCTGCTGCTGGCCTCATCCACTATGCTTTGTGAGAACAAGAAATGCAAAAGCTTTGGAAGAAGTTGTTTGCTGCTGTTTTTTTATTAGTAAAGTAAAAAAAGTGTAACAGTGGAGCACTGGGCTGTGTGGTGTGGAAGTGCATTGTTGACATTTTGTTTTGTGCCTATTTTCATACTAGAGAGGGGTTTATTCTATCATGCCATCTGAATGAAAGAAATTGTATGAAAACATTAATTAAATGGTAGAAATTGTTACCACGCACATGACTAATGACAACTAAAGACCAAAAAAGGGAAACTAAATGTTTTGTTGTTAAACATATTTGAACATTTAGAGAGAGAGAGAGAGAGAGAGAGAGAGAGAGAGAGAGAGGACATCAGCACTTAGCATATGGTTTCCTATGACCATATTCTAGTTGCAAAGGAACAAAACTATTTTACCTATTATTGACCCAAAGGTTTTGAAATGCTTGACCAACTGCAAGGATGAGGAAAAACATTCAATAGAGTCTAAATAAATAGACTTTTTACACTCATGGTCAGTTGGAGACCCTTTTTAATGTTCTGGAACAAAATCAAATCATATGAAGCAATTTACCAAGAAATACTGAAATACCCAAAGTATTGTATTGCAGATTTTCCTGTTATAACCTGAGATTACATTGCTGCAAGTTCCCCTTGTTATTCTTAGAAAAATAAAATGGACTAAAATACTGACAACAAAGATGACAACAACAACAGGCTAATGAAGAGAAGGTGGAAATGAAGAGAAAATAGAACTGCTCAGTAATGTCTGGTTTCTTCCCAAAAGGAAAACAGTGTTCAATTGGATGACAATAAAATAAATGATGCAAGTAATATTCTATAGTCTTAGATAGGACAGTAGATATGGGAACAGCTGGTTATTCAAATATATTCAGGCCTGAGAATTTGCAATCTGCAGCATTAAAAGAGTGGTCTATAATCTTTGAGAAGTATCAGAGAACGGGTGAGATTCCAGGACACTAGAAGTGGGAAAATACTGTGTTCATCTTCCAGGTGTGCAGGAGGCCATCTTGCCAACTACATGCCAGTCTGCTTGATACCAGGAGAGATTCTAAAATAGAGAGTGAAATGTTTGCCTTGCAAGAAAAGAGTAAACTAGCTTATTATTGTTATTAGCTTTCAAGTCAACTTCAACTTTTGGGGACTCTATGAGTGAGAAGTCTCTAAGAGCCCTGAGGCTCACTCACATTGCGTAATTATAGTGCTATTATTGCATTTAAGTGTCATGGCTTCATCCTATGGAATCATGGACTTTCTAGTTTGGTGAGGCACTATAATGCTTTCACTGAGAATTTTAAATGCCCTTCTTTAAATCGCCAGTCCCATGATTGTATAGGCTGGAGCTGTGGACTTTATTTTACTATAGTCCACCTACAGTGGCTACAGACTGTCATGAGCACCTTTGTTGTTGTACAGTTCTCAAGTTGTGCATTGCACCAATATGCCAATCTGTGATCCCACACTCGTACTCCTAAACACTCTCATAGACGGGAGTGAGAGCAGGGCCTCCCCACAGATCTGCTGCTCTGTCACTTTTCAAATACTTAAAAAACCCCACAATTTTGCAATTAAGACTAAATAAAAAATGACAAATACTGTTAAAAGTTTTAAAAGTACTAGCTCAGGAAAAGCAAAGGAGAGTAAGAGAGGATAAGCTGAACAGCCCTATTGCATAAGGTAGGTGATGGGAATGTTGTAGGATTGGCAGGTATTCATGGGTTTTCCTGGTAATCATGAGAGATATGCTGATCGCAGGGAGGAGGCAGACCAGCAATGCAGATGGAATAAGGACTACCTGCTTTGGTCCTGCTTCTGTGATGGTTTGCTTCCCTAGTTTGATAAAGTCCCATTGCAGTGAAAGGAAAACAATGATGCTACAAGAAATTGTATCACAGCTGCAAGAATAGTCTTGGCAAAAAAATGGAAACAGAAAGAAGTAGCCACAAAGGAGGAATGGATAAGTAAGATGAAGGAAATCAAAGACATGGATAAACTGACCTTTGCATTAAAAGACTCATATGGAAAACCAATGAGAAAAACAGACTGGAAGCTTTTCGAGGAATACTTATCAGATGACCAAAATAGGAAAGACACATAAGAAGAGGAAGAATGAGTTTTCAGAAAAAGGAAGAAAAGAAAAAGACGGATCCAGAGAGAAGGAGATTAAGGAAGTCAGAAGACCCTCAACACCCCCCCCATTGTCCCTTCCCCCCCTGCCCCAGATCCTAAATACTCTCCATACCCTCTTTCCCTAACCCACTCTCACACCCTTCCCTACCCAACCTACCCTCCCAATCTTCCTCCTACCTATAACTCCAACATCCCTAACCCCCAATTTTTACCTATATATTAGGGCTGGGCGGTTTCGTTTCGTTAATTCGTAATTCGTTAATAATTCGTTAATTTTTTTCAATTACAAAACGATAATGAACCATTCTGGAGCAATTAAAAAAAACGAATTTTCAAAAACGTTTTGTAAATGCTTCGTATTTCGATATTGTATTCGTTTCGTTATTGTTTTGAGGTCGTTTCGTTATTATTTCCGCATGTCTGGGCCAGTTTTATGGTTTAATTAGTGAAAAAAAAATTATAATATCACACCAACAGTCAACAACAGAGGGAGAGGGAAGCTTCAGAAGGTTTTGGAGGTTTTTTAGCGTATTTCGCGGTCGCGTCCGCCATTAACGAATCGATTCGTTATTGTTTCGGAAATCGATTCGTTAATTTTTTACCATTTACGAAATTTCGTAAATATTGAACTTTTTAAAAGGAAAATTTTGTAATTATTTTAAATATCGAAACAAAAAAAAACCAAATACAAATCGATTTTAGAAACAAATTTTTCCGTTGTTACCCAGGCCTACTATATATCTGTAAGAATATACTCTAATAAAAATATTTTTTAAAAAATTAGCATTCTAAATGGAAGGAAAATGGAAGAATAAAGGAAGACAGGCCAACCAAGGGTAAGATGGATGTATGGTATCCTTGAAGCGACTGGCTTGCCCTTAAAGGAGCTGGGGGTGGCCATGGTCAACAGGGAGCTCTGGCATGGACTGGTCCATGAGGTCATGAAGAGTCGGAAGCATCTGAACAGATAAACAACAACAAAGCATTCTAATGTGGAGGTGCCCTTTTTGCTTCCTGCAGAATTCTGGGAAATGTAGTGTACAGAAGCCAAAGAACTCTCTGTCTGAGAATGCCAAAGGCCCCACCCTAAACTACATTTCCCAGAATTCTGCAGGAGCAAAGCAGATAATAACAAAATGGGCACCTCCACCTTAAAATGCTAATATGATATTATCGAAAGTGAATGTGTGGATGGATGATAGTGGCTGGAATTTGCTACTGAGTCGGCAGGTGTAAAGACATGAAGTATTCAGGACCTGCAAAACTGCCCCGTGGGGATTTTTGTAGTTTAATTCCCTTATAGTGCAATTTTCTTTGTTTATTTGTCTGCTTAATGCACGAGGATGCTATGCTGATATAGTTAAGATTAATGAGTGACTGATTAGAACCAGCGTACAAATTTGGAAGCAAGTGATCTGAAATAATTGTGGCAGGAATAATTGCACCAGTCTAATTGGCATACAACTTCCTCCAATGACTCCCCCCTCGACTCTACCCCACCCGCTTTTTAATTGATAGATTGCTCTCTAGGCTGTTCTTCCAATGTCCACCAAAGTGATTATCTTTCCCCAGCAAAAAAATCCAGTCGACACAGAAGGCAAGCCAGTAAAGCTTGCAAAGAAATTAATTACTTATGTGTCAGTACCAGGAGTCACAGTCTTAAGGTTCAGCACGTGCAAGGGTGACTATCTCATGGTATTAAAAAAGCAGAGGAGGAACAAAAGAAAGGAGCTTCATCAGGCTGG